TTTAGAAGTGTTAAGTAGATTTTATTATTGCTATTATGCTTCTTTGTTGTGGTGGATGTAACAGGTCTCTCTTGTAAATGAGACAATGAGTCTCATGAGATCTTCCTGTATAAATAAAGGATAAATAAAATAAATTTAAAAAATAGTATGGTGTAGGGCCTCCAATACAGAATCAATTGGTCTTGGGAATGACAAGTCCTGCTCAGTGGTCAGAGGGATTTGAAACCATTCTTCTTGCAGGATAGTGGCCAGGTCACAAAGTGATGCTGGTGGAGGAAAACGTTTTCTGACTCGCTCCTCCAAAACATCCCAAAGTGTCTCAATAATCTTCAGATCTGGTGACTGTGCAGGGCATGGGAGATGTTCAACTTCACTTTCATGTTCATCAAAGTAATCTTTCACCAGTCTTACTGTGTGTATTGGTGCATTGTCATCCTGATACACTGCACCACCTTCAGGATACAATGTTTGAACCATTGGATGAACATGGTCCTCCAGAATAGTTCAGTAGTCCTTGGCAGTGATGCGCCCATCTGGCATAAGTATTAGGCCAAGGGAATGCCATGATATGGCAGCCAAACTCATCACTGAYCCACCCCCMTGCTTCACTCTGGGCATGCAACAGTCTGGGTGGTACGCTTCTTTGGGGCTTCTCCACACCGTAACTGTCCTGGATGTGGGGAAAACAGTAAAGGTGGACTCATCAGCTATTCATGTTTCACAGATTTGTGCTCCTTGCRCCATTGAAACCAACGTTTGGCTATGAGTGACCAAAATTTTGGCTATAGCAGCCTGGCYGTGTATATTGACCCTGTGGAGCTCGCAATGGACAGTTCTGGTGGAAACAGGAGAGTTGAGGTGTACATTTAATTCTGCCATGATTTGGGCAGCTGTGGTTTTGTTTTTTGGATACAATCCAAGTTATCACCAGAACATCCCTTTCAGACAGCTTCCTGTTGGGTCCACAGTTAATCCTGTTGGATGTGGTTGGTCCTTCTTGGTGGTCTGCTGACATTACTCTGGATACTGTGGCTCTTGATACATCACAAAGACTTACTGTCTTGGTCACAGATGCTCCAACAAGAGGTGCACCAACAATTTGTCCTCTTTTGAACTCTGGTATGTCACACATAATGTTGTGTACATTGTAATATTTTGAGCCAAACTGTGCTCTTACCCTGCTAATTGAGCCTTCACACTCTGCTCTTACTGGTAATAATCAGCCTTGCACTAACCAGCCAATTGTGTGAGTGGAGTGTGCACTCTATACCCAGTTTATACTTCCCCAGGTCCCTTCTTATTTATGTCATTTTATCTGGGGCAAACTCTCCTSTCAGTCTCTTTCCATCTGAGTACASTAGGAGACCAGCTTAAGAGTCTAACAGAAAAATACACCCAAATGTGAAGAAAAACTTTGTTTGACTGAAGGGATTTTGAAATAMCAAAAGTTGTGTTTAAGCCAGCTGTTATGGTTCACAGTGTGTGCTAAATATCAAGTGTGATAAGTTCCTGTTAATAGGTGTGTGGCATCAGACAGAACAATGATGAGCACACAGTCTATCATCAGGGGTCTTACTGACAGTTTAGACACAATGGAGCTGCAGTAATGCTCTGATTAGTTTCTCCCTCAGGCTGCCATATGTTAACATGTTTTCATCTATGAAGGGATGAAAAATGAAGCAAAGCCCAGTTAGTTATTTTTGACACCCTAATGTCTGCTGTCATCGTGAGTCATTTTGAACATCATGTTAGGACCAACAGTCATACTTTTGGTTTTTGTAACTGATCGTGCAGGTGGCCTCAGGAGCYGGGATTCATCTCTTCTTTGCAGGCCTCCTGCTCATGAAAACAATTGATCGAGAGACCAGCCTGTTGTTCAGMAGCCAGTTTGTTCTGTCACACATGGATTTTCTATAACAGAACATGTGACTGCACATAAAGTATTGGAAAGTTAGTTTCATGATTCTTTGTTTGTTTTCTTTCTACTGGTGCCAGTGACAMTACAGGAAGGTGCAGATCTTCACTTTATGCTCCAAAATGAATGTGATTCCCACTACAGYCAGAGCCAGTTGTACCTTTACAGCCAGCCTGAGAGAAACCAGACTAGAACATGACAGTCAGCCTGGRGTGTCCAGTCCWTGCACTCGMGGACCATTATGCTGCAGRTTTACTTGTTTCTCWGCTACAACACACCAGATTCAATGATTCAACTATCACTTTAAGTTCTGCATTAATTTCATTCATTCATTCATTCATTCATTCATTCATTCATTCATTCATTCATTCATTCAAATCAGGTGTGTTAGAGCAGAGAAAGATGTAAAACACTCAGAAGCGTGGTCCTCCAGGACCAGGACTGGACACCCCTGCATTAAAGGGACATATCATGTAAAATACAATTTTTTTAGCTGTCTAACACATTTTGTTGTGAGTCTCTAGGAGGCAGAAAAGTTGAGTTTATTCTCTTCTGGTGCTGCAAAGATATCTTTATTTTCTGTTTGGTTCAGATTTTTTAACCTGTTCAGCTTTCTCTGTTTTCTATGATGTTTTCTGAAATATTATATTGAATTATTTGCAACAGAACTATAATAAGGTCTGCACTCACCTGCTACAATTTTGTCATCTTCATTATACTCTGGTTCTGTGTTTTCCATTGTTCACATCTTTTAATTAATTTGTATATAAAAGGTTTCTGCAGCTATATAACCATAAGCCCCTCTACCAAACTAGAATGATCTGGTCTGGAAGCTGGAGGGGGCGGGGCATGAAGAGACTGTTTGAATTTAAAGAGACAGCCTCAAAACGAGTTGATCTGAGACACAGCTCAGAAAAGGGTTGAAAAGTTAAAAAGAGGAGTTCAGACCAACGTGTAGCAGAACCAACTGAAGGGTTTAAATGTGAAAAAGAAAGATTTAAAAACATGAAATRTGTACTTTAGGCAAAGGAACTTTGAAAACCTCTTTGCCTGAGAGCATCCTGTACCACTTGTTTCTGAGGACAGCAAAACCATAGCCTGGATATAAAAACAGTCAAAATCAGCTGCATATCACAGTTTTATTGTTATAATAGTCTAAACATGAAAGAAATCCTCCATTTTGACCATAAATAAATATCTCATGTTTCAAATGAATCTGCTTTTTATTTCTTTTGTTCCTAAAAATAAATCTGCTAACATGCCCAGACCCTCTGACAGACTGAACAACCCCCTGATGACACTGTTGGTTCTTGTTTTCTACTTCCATAAATAAAAAGGACAGTCAACAAATGCACTGATCTTGTTTTAAGAACAGGATTGTTTTGAGTGTAACTGGTGAACATGTGCAGACACCACCTGTCAGTGTTAACACATCTTACAAACCTYTGACAAAAAAACACAACTTAAATAYATGCTTCAAAATTCAACACAATAAATGTCTTCTAATGAAATAAACATCTGAGATAAAATTGTGTAAAATATTTTATAGACATTGTGGTTAAAACTGTATCTAATTTTTTTAAAGTGCCACTTTGCAGAGTTTGACCCCCCAGCTTTAATCCATTGATTGTATTGGCAAACAGCATCTCGACAGATCTGTGAAAACAGGCTGCAGCTGAGAGAAAACATTCATCCCAACTCATTCATTTATTTGGACAGAAATTAGCCTCTTTCATTTATTTCAGTCCAGCTTTTTCTAAYAACCATCCTCTGTTTTTAACATTTATTCAGATTTCATCTCAKACAGTGTAAATAAATGCATACAGTATGTCTAGTACCGTACTTTACCTACACTATATACAAATATAGTGTAACTGCATGTATATCTATATACTGTATCTATCTGTCTAAATTTTTTTCAATAACTATGGTGAAAATATTCTATTAGAAAGTCCTCATGCATCTCAGTAATCCAGGTGGAAATATATATATATA